AAACGATCATGCTGCCAATTAGCTCTGAATATGATTCTAAAACTTTTATCTATCTAAAACTATATACAGATTATTTGTACTGTCCATACAAACCACTTAGCTAATGCTAAATAATTTTTTGATGACTAAATCTCCAATGCCACAAAATCAACTTCTTGCAAATAAATCTTAATTTTCTGATTACTTAACTAATCTATTAGGAGAGGATCTTAAACTAATGGTTAGTCAAGAATTTGGTATGTAGCTTGTGTCACACGGGCGGGACACTCAACATTTTTTTCTCAGGGCGTCTCATATGTGGGACACCCTTCATTACTGGGTTAAAACAGTAGTGAGAATAAAAGATATACATAATAAAACTAGAATAGTGATAAACAGGGAAGAAGAGGTATATCACATTTAATTAGTAATTAGAATTAAAATGTGCATTCAGGTAGTGTGAAGAAGTGGAGACAATTTTTTTCTAATTAATAAAATCTTGTCATCTGTGTAAATCACAAAGATATCTTCTTTCAACTTGTTCTTTGTTACTGTACAGGGTTCTGCTGTGGGTACCTGATCTATCTGTGTAAGAACCTCAACCTTTACATTCCAAGAATCAGCCAAAAAGTATGGCTGATACTCCTTTTGCCTCCTCTCTACCTCCTCACCCTCCTGAGGCACCTCAACAAATTAGCCGTCTTCAGGTAAATTCAGGCTGTGATGTTTTTCCTCGTAATTAGAATTATGCTTGTGTATAGTATGAATTTCTTTTTCTTATTTTATGTTGAGTCTTATGATACGGTAATTTGACAAAAGTCTTGAATAACAAGACAGGTTTTAGGGTAGTATCATACCTTCATCGATTATCCATTTACTGGAAAGGATTGTTACTGGATTATCATTTTTTCATTTCAAATGAAGCAATGATTAGGGAAGGAATGTGCATTATGCTTCTTTGATAAAGATAATTATTTTGAATGCACAGATACAAGGCTGGGATTATCCCCCCCCCCCCCCACACACACACACACACACCACACACACTCCACACACGCACACATACACACAGCTGCCATGTTCCTCACAGCCCGCATCTATCATACTGATTCCAGAGTCCCTACAACTGTAGATGTTCTAATGTATGAGATGTTTCATTCTGTTATATGAAGAAGTGTCAATCAATATACAAGTATCCCAATGTTATGTACAAATGTAATGAATATAGTGAATAAACATTATATCAATCAAGTAACCAATGGTATTTAGAGCTAGTGTTGCTAAAATGTAGTACTGCCATGATAAATTCTGGAGATATCCCTCTTCTAAATTTCTTGTTTTATCATAAAAAGAATGTAAACAGATAGTTCAGATTGTCATCAGGCTTGATTTAAACTTGACAGTTTATATATTGTGTTGACTTATATATACATACATGTACATACATGCACACAATTACATATATATATATATATATATATATATATATATATATATATATATATATATATATATATATATATATATATATATCACACATACACACATAACATACACATACACATATACATATATACATTTATACGTATATACATATATATATATACTATGTATATACATATGTATATATATGTAAATATATGGTATACACACACATAGTGTGCATAGCACATTGTGTGTATGGTTATATGCCATGTGTGTAGTGTGTGTGTGCATGTGTATATATGTGTGTATGGGAGTGTGTTTTTTTTTTTTGATATGTATGTTTATTACACACATGCACATACATACATATATATACAAAAAGTTTTGTCATACAGGTTCACTGAAGTAAATATATTGGCTGACTGATTTATAAAGCTGCTAAGTGTTTAGAGAATCTAACTGAGACTTTCTTCCAGCTTGTTTGCCCAGATCTCCAACGTACTTGCACTAGCTGTTGTGTTCTGGTTTGACTTCTCGCACTCAGAGGAGGTGCCTTTCCAGCCCAATGAGTTCTCTATAAAGGGCTTCCCATTCTTCTTCGCAGTGGCAATCTATTGCTATGAGGTACAGCAATTTAATGTATTGTATTAAAAAGATGTGTATTTTCTCACAAATGGTCGTGCAAGCATTGTAATTATTTGAGCAAATATCATAGAGAACAGAATTCAAGAGAATGAAGATTTATTTGATAGATTTATGAAACAGTTATTTAGTCTCCTTAGCCTTGCTTTTGCACAGAGGTGTGAGTACTTTGACAAGGATGTAAAGATGACAAATTCAATTTAGTTATTGATTCCTGATGGTGAAGCTCATAAAAGCAAAGAACAATCATAAGCCCACCTGTTTAGTTAGAGACACAAATAAGATGGAAGCAGATTTGGAAAGAAAGCTGATTTTTATTTTATTTTATCTAAAATTGTCAAGAAAATCTAATAAAGTAGAATTAGAATGAATGTTCTGTCTGCAAGTTCATGTGAGACTTCCTGTATTGATATCTCTCTATCTATCTCTAAGATTAGCATAATCTTATGCATTT